AATGCACATGTATATGTGATCCCTGTCACTCTGGTAAAATACAAATTTTTAACTCAATAGGCGTCAGAAAAATACAACAGACTTCCCGGATGAGATCCTTAACGGAGATATTGAAATAGCAATTACCACGGTTACATACCTGCCGCATTGAGCCACGAAAAAGGCTATAACGACTGTGGTTACCGGTTACATAATTTTTAATCTGTGTCTCAATATGATGATCATGTTACCTGTTTGCTTACCTGTAGTTAACGTAAATGTGCGTCTACACGATCTGACATACCCTATACAATACGTTACATATCAAATCATTTTTGAAATGAGCCCCTGTATTTGCTTGTCTAGGTCTCTGTCTCCACCTCGGTGCTAGGTCTACCCCAAAACGAGTAAGGTCTGATAAGACCGAGAATGAAGTGTAGGTTCAGTACAGTGCATTACTTTATTGTCGATAAGGAATCGATGCTCTTGGGGAATACAACTTCATATAGCTAAGACTGATATGATAAGGAAGTGTAACAATAAGGTACCATACCAAAAGTTTCAAGGAAGTGATGTCCAATTTTAAATAATCTTCCACAGCTCTAAGAACCAATGTAATAGCCTGTCATTTATCCTCACCAATTTGACGTTTAAAGTTATGGCTTCTGTTCTATCGGCGTGGTTTTGTTTCTACTTGGTGGTAAACGTCGAATTGCATAAACGTATACAGTTTTAAATTTATTATCAATGTTCCCAAATCCAATATGGTCGCTTTGGCTTCTGTATGATGTTAACCAAGCGGGGCTGTGTTCTATTGCGTCTAAATACTTCAGTGCTTTGTACATATACACACAGGGACCTGATAATTTGTTACAGCTATATTTGGATCTAAACGGTAAAAATGCCACCCCCAGTTTTCGTGGCGTTGAAATATTTTGGACAGTTCGATTCGATTTGCAAATGCAAAATTGCACTTAGGTAACATCCTCTGACCATCGAAAGTTTCAATAATTAATGTTGGACAGGTCATGGGGTTGGGGTTAGGGTGGGTGTGGAGGTTGGGGATGGGGAGGTTTTTTTTAAGGTACAGCAATCCTGTTATACCAACTGCCGAATCCGACAAAGCCGGTTATGAGCGCGCGTCGCGAATGGCTGGGGGTTCGAGTCAAACTGACGTACTGGATATATCATTGACTTTATTGTTTAGAAAGAATTCAGAGTAACAGCACGATAGCATAGACTATACACACTGTTCTACCTCTCATATTGGTCGACTATTATCGAGAATCTAAATATTTATGAAGAGTTTATCGGTGGGCAACGTTTACATCCCGATATCTCTAGAGTGACACTAGTGACTTGTTGTAACCTATTTTCTCACTCACCGCTCGACTCGGTTAATGATTGTTAAATGAACCTGTAATGTAGACTGTCTTGTGTACAATGATGCACATAAATTTTACACTTACAGCCACCCCCACCCCACCCCCATTTTTTTTACCCCAAACAACAAACAACCACAAAGAAAACATAACAAGAAACAACAAAATCCCTTCAGTTTACATATGTAGGTCCAAATATTGTGACAAATTCTCAGGTCTCTCTCGGGTGTACGCAGTAGGTGTTGTGCAATACGACCGATGTGCTGCCCCTACTTTCTGACTGGAACAAACATGTGTGAAAGATAAGTCTGATACTATATATATATATTTCTGTTACCTGGTGTATGTCGGTTGTATGTCGCTACCTTCACGTCAACTTCAGATCCGAAATCTCCCCGCCAACAAAAAAACCAAACAGTCTTTACTGCAGCCGAAAGAGATTGTTTTAGTCCAAGGTTGTTGTTTTTTGTAATCAATAAACTAAAATAGTACCATTCCCGTCACCTAATATGTCGGGTATGGTATGTGTAGACCATACAGCTGTTTATAGGAGACCTTGACCCAGCAGATCAGCGCTCGTAATTGTGTATCAAGAGTGTAAAGTTCATACTGGTGTGCACTATTCAGAATACAATCAGATTGTACAATGCAGTACACATGTATCTTTCATGTTATGACACAATGGACATTTAACTATAGATAAAAGTTGATAAATATTTGTTTGATATGAATAGATATCGTTTGAAAACTGGTTTACTGCACTGCTGTTTTTTCTTTCGTTTTATTTCTTCGTTATAGGTTTTCGAAAAAAAACACTGGTGGCTTAGCGATTGGGTATATACTTCAGTATATTGAAAATACTTCTTTATAAAAAAAAACTAGAGACTCCAATATTAATAGAAAGTGAAAAACTTGAACAACAAGCTACGTGTACTTCATTTTGCGACACAATTACCTTTTAATGACCTATCAGCCCTTAGTCCGAATGATTCTGACGTTTTATCGACTTTTTTCATAAAAGTCGATAAGACGTCAGAATAATTCGGACTAATCAGCCCTGTGATTGGTTGTAAGTTTCAATTGTGACATCACGCCTAGGACAAGTACATGACGTCACAAACTTACGCACTGGAGTCAATATGGCGGCCTTTTACATTTCAAGGTAACATGAAAATTGTCGTTCTACACGAATATTATAAATGCCACAATCTTGATTGTGTGATAAAAAGGATCTTAAACTTGTTTTCAAAGTTTTTATATTCAATAAATAAACATTTTCCATGAACAAGAAGTTTTAAAGAACTTCATTGTCTTATTCTGGCGTATGACACCCGGGTATATCTCATGCAGAGTGCCCCTCTCATTTTGATGAAATGTATTACATATTGTATTTTAATTATTACTATGATGCCAGGGAGCACAATGGAAAAGCATCCCTGTTTAGTATTCAAGAACGGAGTTGTCTTTTAAAAGGCAATATATTAAATAACTATCTTTAGTTTATAAGTATTTGCTATAGTAAATGGAGCAGTAATTCCGAATGAAAATAAATTCGAAAACACTTCTTCGTTGAAGGTACTGTATAACATAGAGCGCCGGGACGTTATACCTTAACATAGTATCCAGGTGAAGCTGATCTGTTGCTGTGTATTCGTATAAACCAGGTTTCACTTTGTATTCGATTGTGTCAGGATTCAGGATTAAAAGGTTTTACAACGTATCGGGATAAACTAGACGTTTTACTATATATAGTTTGCCCACAAGATAAACCCAATTTTCCAGTGTATCCAGATAAATCGGGTTTTTACAATGTATCCAGATAAATCGGATGTATCCAGATAAATCGGGTTTTTACAATGTATCCAGATAATCTCGGGTTTGTTATTTATTCAGATAAAACAGTTTAAACAATATATCCGGATAATCCAGGTTTAATTCGTGTATCGATATAAACCAGGTTCAACAAAGTATTCAGACAATCAAAGTTTAACAATGTTACCAGATAAACCAGGTTTAACAATGTTTCCCGATAAGCCAGGTTTTTACAATTAATCCTGATGAACCAGGTTATTTACAATAAATCCTGATACACCAGGTTTTTCATATCTTGTTTAAGCACTATGGATACCCAGGCTAACAATAAAGAATCCAATACGCCCATCTGTTACCTGCGCCCAGTATTGACAAGGTGGACAATCGAAATAATGTATGAATTGCTAAACATGGTCAGGCGATGAGCGATTTCTTAAGTTGACAGGCCTGTATACATGAAACTCATCGACTAAAAAAACGAGACAAGTTTTTAATATGTCAGCATAAATATATTTACGATAAAAATTGAACATTTCGGCAACAAACATGTTCTTTCTATCCATATAACTAAATTGGTTTAAAGACTGTTTATATTTCGAGATTCGTGATACATAACATGTAAAATTAAACAAGAAAAGTACCATCTCTGAGCTTCTGTTAGTTTTATCCTTCATAAATTTATCCCTGGTGAACCTATACTTGGAAGTTACGTATCGGGGAAGCTAAGTTAAACATTCTGACTGAACAAAACCTAGACGTCCGGGTACAGACAGTTAAAAGCGCAGTGCCTTACATGAACTGGAAGTCGGGAAAATTTAAATCAGTCCAGGTTTCTTTTCATTGAAACTATTTCACTAATATTTCGACCGTCCAATCTCTTGAAGAGATTATAGGGACTAGATTTTAAAAAAAAAATCCGTCTGAGACCTCCTTTTCATTCCTTTCTAGTTTTGTTTCTCAACATCCGGGTTATTTCATCGATGAAATGTCTATCATTTGTGGAGAGGCATTCACTTTGGATGTTTCCCTCCAAAATCTGAGTTCCGACCAAAACGTTGCTGAGACGGGCAGATGCCACTACACCTAAACAAGCGAATCATTTAACCAGTCCGGACAGGTGAGACTATTTGGTCAAATGTCGACCACCTTCAAACCTTCACGTGTGTGGGATACTATCATGGGTACCTTCGGCATGGTATTTCAGTGAGGTAGCTCTAAAGAAACTCAACTCAACTCTAAAGTCGGCATCAAATCCGCGCTATCACAATAACGCAGATACACCAACATACCGCATCCATCACATATACTTTGAACACAAATGCAAGCATACACTGAGTACACACATAGAGACATGTCCTTAAATGACCCCAACTCAACAGGACGTTAACGCTAAATCCAATAAAACCAAAATCAAGCGAAGGGAAGTAACTCTCATCAATAGGGTATCTTTACGATACAAACAGTTTGTCTGTGATTCCTTCTTTCTACTATCTCCCTTCAAATATTTTTGAAAAGTTGACGTAAGTTTAGACCTTTAGATCTAAACATTAACAATTCACTGCACATTTACGCCAGGTTTCATATGGGAGCTCTTTTGACAGGGAGATCAGTTTAACAGTCCGATAGCATACACCCTTAATGTTAACGACGTGCGACATCTCACATGAAAACTGTATATAAGATATCCTACATGAAACAGCTGGGTCAGTTCCTCAGCCTGATTTAACACCGACTGACTAACAAGTACAGAAACAAATATCTGCTTACCTATGGTTATTTTATCACAGACAGTATAAGACAAGGCAATCCTAGGTGATATTGACTTACCTGTTGTCATTTCTCTTAATGGCTGTGTGGCTGGCTGGCTGGCTAGATATGTGGTTAATGAGGGTGTGTGTAGTTTCACTTTCGGTATGAACTTCTGCGAATATTCCGTACAGGTAATTTTCAAAAAACAAGTTTTAAAGTTCGTACACACTGGTGCAATGAATGCGGCGCAGTAGCATGTATATAGGTAAAGTACCTACGTATATTTGATTTGTCACAAAACAAATAATGAGTTGTAAATATAACCTAGTTTTAAACGCTAAGTAAGAATCCTATCACATTACATTACATTACATACACACTGGGTGATAATATAGATTTATAAGATCGACGGGTTTAAAGGTAGTTCACAACGAAACGATAAAGTCTTTCTAAAGTCACTATTACACCCTTGTCCCTCAAAATCAAGTACAAAGATGTCCATAACGTATTGTTCCCCTGGTTCCTTCATTTGGTACACATATCTAGGAATTTGACTTTTCGGTGTGCAATGTATGTATAACAAAATATTTAAAAGTCTATACTCACAATAAGGGTAAAATCAACTCGAATCTTTGAATTTCTTCGCAAAATATATCCTAAAATAAAGTTACACAATATTTCTGACAGTCCGGTGAGTTAGAGATTTGTCTGTCGATAAGTGTATAGACCGCTGTTATAGATATATATGTATGTATGCGTGTGTGTATATATACTGTACATGTACACAGCTGTGAGTACCGACTACCGTAGTCATTCTTCATTAGGGGATCGTCCTCGAAATCGATGTTTTTTCCTTGTTTTTTTGTTTTTTTTGGTCATGATTGATTTTGTATCAAGTTGCTGAGCTTACTGCTAAGGTCTGATTCAGACAGATTCACTGATTACAGTTTGATTGTATACTTTCCAAACGTCAGTGAGCTGCCTTTTGTCCGTCGTTCTGCACTCGTATCACCCCAGAAATTAATATCAAATAATAACATTTTTTTTTATATATATCGAATAAATATGTCGGTCACCCTGTGATAAATGTTACGCGTTCGGAACACCTCGCCTATGCTACATGGCTTTGAAGAAAATGCAGGAAAGGGTATTCCGAATGAAATGTTACGTTAAGCTGCAGCAAACGGGTTTCGGGAATTAAATATATGTAGTTAGATTGTATTACAATAGTTTTTTTTTTTTATATTGGCACATACATTCCAAGTTTTGTCAATAGAAGAAGGAGACAAAAGAAAGGGGGAGGGGGATGCAGAGGAGAAGTAGAGGAAGAAAAAAAAGAGATCAAAAAGCAGGTGTAAGAAGGAGGGAAAGAAAGAAGAAAAGGGAAAAAAAGGAGGAGAATGTTTAATTCATTACTCGTATCGATTTTCCTAAACTTCAACGGATTTCGTGTATATTTGTTTATAATTGTTGTATAATTGTTTGATGTTTATGTCTCTAATATAATCTATACCCATTCGTCTTTTTGAAATTTTAATATTTTTTTATTACGACATCTTGTTGCTAAAAAATCGGTGTGACCGAGTTTGAAAGGAAAATGTATGTCCATACTGTCTCCTTGTATCCATACACACTTCTAATACGTGGGAGTTTTTTTATCAGGTTAATCACCAGGTGGCCGGTGTAACAAAATAGTCACATCATTAAATTACTGCTGTCGCCATTTATGTAGTTAATTGCATTAAACACCGTTATTTAAGGGGTTCAAAGGTCAGCGATCGTTGTTCTGTGGTTGTCATCGTCGTCGTCACCGTCGCTTTTGGTTCAAGTTTCAAGTTTTATTTTTACACTCACGCCACACGTATACGTGCGTAACAAGAGGTCAAACATTGAATAGTATACATTGATGGACATAGTACACACATAATATGACACATAATACAATATATATAATAACAATTCATTTCAATAAATTGCTATGTTGGGTGTTGGATGGTTTGATATTTGTAATAAGATATTATTTCAGATGTAAATTACAACATTTATGACGATTTCTACGGTAATAACTTCGCGATAACACAGAATGCTGACGTACGTTTTTATTATCTTAATAAATTGTTACGCTATCGCCTTGATAATATCAAAATATTTAAATTGAAACATCACTGCAATTAATGTACATGTACAGCTTTAGGAGACTAATGGGTCCCGAGTCATTCACCTAAACCTAGCACTACTCCGGGGATAGAAGTCAAGTCGAAGAAAGTTCCGAATGGCTGGTTAGCATTACACTAAGATAACTTGTCTGAAATAATTGCTTTTTATTTAATTTAAATTTAATCTAATTGAATCAAATTCTTCGAAATTTCAGGTCTTAATTAGGACCCAATTGACAGACATTTGAAAGCGTATTCTTGGGAGTTGATATGAATTCCTATTAAAACTGCAGGATGGTTAGGAAACTATATATTTAACAAAACATATCTGGCAATCCATTCAATTCACCATGGTAATGAGCAACTTCATTCATGAAATTAAAAAAGCGCCATTCTCATTAATTTAGCAATATAACTAACACATTCTAATATTTGTGCGGTCCTTAGGAAGTAGAAATAGCTTTGCTTGATTCCAACGTCTATACGTATTTAGAACTATAATTAAAAATTATAATTTATGATATAAATTTCTAACAAAAGGTGATTTTAAAGCTGACAATACTTTTTTTTACAAACGAATTCCGATTACCGCATACCGCGGTTGCTGAATTTTATGAATAACAGCTCTGTTTACAAAATGATATATTGGACAACGTGTCAAAATGCTGGGTAGCAACCACTCAATTTACCACAAAAACGGCAAGGTATTTTATCAAAACGGGCATTTTTATTTCAATCTTTAAAAATAAGAAAGTAAGAAAAATATCATTTTTGATATATAAACTTGAGCACTAAACACGAAATTGAGTATGATAAGGTTTTCCCAAAAAAATATGTCTGATCTTTTTGCTCTCATCATAGAAATGGTGAATGTACACATACGTGTTGTATACACATTCTCAATGGAAGAGATATCGTTGAAGCAAATTTTAAGACACATTACTTACATCTAAATCCTCACATTTGTGTGTGTGGCGATATCATTATAGACTCCATACATATCAGCCGGGTCTTTTCTGTCAACTTGCATTTGTTAAGAACAGTGGCGCGAGAAACTCAATTTTAATAAAATGAAGAACTGTGGAGTTATGTTTACATGGCATGGACCGTGAAATGTTTTGTATAATTTGTGTAGAGTATACACTGTTTTTGAAATTGTGTTGGAGATTTTGTTTATCTATTCTTCTTATTTCCATTTTTCTCTGGTCAGGACGCATACATTTTCAATGCAAGCTTTTTTCATTTGTCAACTGTGCATTACAGGACCGTATACTGTGTAACCTATTATTATATATACATTGTATACCGGATGTAGCCCACATGTGACCTTGTCCTGTTAACACAGATACCTTGACCTTTCACCTCTGGTTACGATAAGAAGTTGTAGCTATAACCTCGTGACCACGGGCCTATGTTGCATGATAACATTTTTAATTCTTTTCCTTAGTCACCTATCTGACAGTAGCTTTTTCTTTCGGAATGCCTTTGGAGGGTCCGGAACTGTGGCTAAATTGTTAGTTAATGTTATTGATAAGACAATTGTGAAATAAAAAAAGCACAACCTAAAACTTAAGGAACTCTTCTGAGGTTTTAATCGCGTTAAAATCTCGACTTGAACTTCGGATTTTTTTTATTTTTATTTTTTATTTTTTTTAATTTAAGTTATCATGATCAATTTTCAAAGCAAAATGAAAAAATTGTCAAAAAAGTACATTCCTATTATTTGCTGAGTTTTTTTACAAGAATTTATAAAAATGACCAATTCGGCGGCCATTTTGAAAATGATCTTTTCTTGGTCTTCACGAAATGCTAAAATTTCACCTTTTTGGCACTAGATAAATCACTTAAATTGTTAAAGTGTCGCCATTTTCAATTCTTGCAATTATTTTTTGCTGTCCAAGTCTAAAATGTTCAATGTAATGAAAAAGCATGCAACAAAATGGGAAAATATACATAATTGATACATGTATATTTTTTTTAAATGTTTATTGTAACTGAAGCATTTTTTTTATATTTAACCCCACAAGAGATGAAAAGTAACTTAGAAGATACTATGGTTACAGAAAGAAGCACACGGACCTCCAATTTTTGTTGCCGTTTTAGGAAGTGATACATGCTTTCTTTTGATCCATTGAATTTTTTTTTTACACAAAGCGTTTTTGCAAAAAATCGTGGAAAAGATTTGTTTTTTCATTTAAAAATAAGGTGTAGATGTAGAGGTTACTTCAATCGCTTTTTCTCGAGATAAATGAATAAGTCGAAGACATTTTACTTCCATAGCTCAGGAGAAAATATTATATTTATCAATTGTGCAAAGATTCCTGTTCTTTTTTTCTGATGACACACTTGAAAGATATGGTATAATTTGTTCTGAATGCGGTCAAAACAAAAAAAAATAATCACCAAAAATCGCAAATGTTTTGTTGGTATATTTGACCGATCATAGGACAAAAACGAGCACACATATATGTAATTGTTTTATTTTATTTGTATTTCTGCTACGTCATTAACACCTTATAAGATAAAAGTAAAATACGTCACTGTTTTGAACTTTTCAGGGGGGTACATCATTAATTGATAGCTATTCGGTTTTGGTGTACACAGAGACGTATACCGCCAGTAGTGTATACGTTTCTTGCATATATCATCTGATTCTACTCACTACCTAAGAATGATTTCTAGTCCAGGAAACTGACCCAGTCATACAGTAGGATTGTCCAAGGATTCCCCTATATCTATATACTCATCTGTACCTTCCATGTATACCCTTCTGCACTGCCTTTACCAACGTACTACATCGATGCCCTCCTACACTACATGTACTCTACTATGCCACATAGATCTTCATTTATGTCATCAATATTTATGCAGTACAATTTAGTGAACGCAGGACGTTAAAGGGGAGATAACCTGTACATGTAAGTAATTTTTATTCCGGTACGTAGCCTATGAGTTGGGTTTGGTTTGTTTGTGTTTAAGGATCCCCGTCCCTCCGCCTAAACACGAGTTGAGGCATTGGGATTTGTTTCTACGGCATCGCTATTGCATAAGCAAATTATTTCTGAACAATAACCCATACCTTGCGGGAGTTTCTTCAGATTTGTTTTCGAAATTATGAAATTTCATTTTTTTTATTCTTTTTTTTTTTTTGCAATTGAACAAAATGAAACAAACTATATATTATTCGATGCAACAAGTGTTTATTACAAATATAACACATACAAAATAATAACTATGACAACATTGATGAGCAAAACACAAAAAAAACCTTAGTAATTTTCTAACAATAATACAAAAAC